GAGTCTTCATGAGATTTTAATTGGGATGCATGCTTATGTACAAATTATTTGAGCATTACAATATTATTTTTCTTATATACATGTTTATGGGTTTAATACATGTATATAAATTATTATTGTGGGTTGCATGCTATTTGTTTGCATGTTTTCTTTTAAAAACATCAATTAGCATGTTATTCTATTTTGTCGGGTATGAGAAGGGGTCAAAAGTCATAAGGGATGGTACATCYTAGGGAGGGGTAACCGGACAAGGGATAGCCGTGTAACCCGGGGAAGTGCCGATGACGGTAAGACCTTAACCCGACGGGAAAATTAAGAGATCTCATTATTATTTCAAAAGAGTTTGAAACAAATGTGCATATTATTTTATTTGGAGTATTATTTATTTATGCATGATGTGAAATGTATGATTGTGCATGAAAACCATGAACTCACCGAGCTTTATAAAGCTGACTATTAGTATGCATCTCAGGAGCTGAGTATTCAAGAACGGAAAAGGGCAAGGGTTCTGCGTAGGAGTTAAAATTTTTATTCGAGTTATGAATTATAGAATTCGTATTAGCTTAACTGAATTTATGTGTAATGTAACCCAATATGGGATGGGTTAATTTTGAGATATTTATTTATGATTAAATTATTGTAAGACTTCCGCTGCAATAAGGCTTTATTAGCCGTTAGAATTTKAATCTTATTTTATTTTATTACGTGGCACCTTGTAAATGAAATGAGGGTGTTACAGCAAATCCTCTTTTGTTATTTAAACCTACGAGCTCACCAACATTATGTTGACGTTTTCGAGTACTCATTTTTAGGTAATACTCATCAAAGTGGCCAAGAGTGCTAGGGTTGCTTGTGGACCTTAGAGAGACCTAAGGGATTCCCTGCGTGGGTTTTTTTTTTTTTCCTTTTAAGTTCCTGAATGCGCATATTCGAATTTATTGGTGTGCTTCTCTATCTTTGAAGTTTTTGTTTGAAACTTGTCCCAGGTTGTGGGAAGTACTTTTGTTTAAATTTTTGTTGACTATGTGATGCCATGGAATTGTCTAACCACGGAACAAGTCTCCACTTGTGACGAGGAAGAGACGTCATGAYACTTGGATTAGTATTCATTTAGTGAGTTCTCTATTAGCATATCATTGTGTTATGACAATCCTCTCCGTCACACTTCGCGTTTCCGCCTAGGCGGGGTGTGACACCGTTACCCGTCGGATACCCGGAACCGGTGGTTGTTTTTCAATAAAAAAATAATTGATTTTTTTCAATACCAAATTTATATTAAGTTACATCTTCAAATGACGCGGTCATCTTCGTTCTTCATCTACTTTCTAGTTCTACTAAACTACAGTTCGTAGTATGTAATCGTTAAGTTTTGAACATTTACAATTATAGTATATAATCGTTAAACTTGAACATTTTCTATTAGTCTATTATGGTTTGTAATCGTTAAAACAATATTTGTAACCATTATTCCGTATAATTTATATTATTGTTTATTTAATTTAGTGTTTTGGCAATATTTTATTTTTATTTCTAAATAACAAAATTTTAATATTTTAGGAAGCGGGTACCCGGAACCGGAACCGGTTCCCGGCGGTTCCGGTTCTGGTTCCGGTTCCAAAAATTCAAGAACCGCTCTAACCGGTTCCGGTTCCAATATCTCAAGAACCGCCGGTTCCGGTTCCTGTCAAAAAAGGCGGGTACCCGCCTATGCTCACCCCTACATTCAATAATAGTGAAGACCACAGTAGAAATAAGAATGTCAGATTTCAAACAAATGAAAAATACTTTATATATACATATTAGAAAATTTTGCTTTTGGAAAAAGAATGAAGAAATAATTGAGTTAAAAAAATAAAACAATTATTTGAAAAAACTAAAAGTTATTTTTGAAAATTATGAATGTGATGTACATGAATTTTAAAAGATAAGACTAAAAACTTCAAAAAAGATGATCATTTTAAATTGCTAATAAAATAAATTATTTTGTTGGAAAAGTGAATCTTACAAGATTTGTAATTTTTTGAAAAAGATAATTAATAAAATAAGATTGTCACAACAACAAGTATTCAATTAGACAGAACGTCATACTGAGAGACGAAACCAGATATCAAACCATGGGTTGAACCAAGAGGTAGATGATCAAGACAAGGACACACCGAGTCATCATCTCGTCCTATCAGCTTGTCGAAGGTGCGTGATGTATACAACATTCTCCTATCTGTATAGATAACTGACTTTCCATTTAAACAATGCACAACCTACACTAAAAATCTTTTTAGGATCCACCCATGGGTGTCATCAATTTTGATGCAAATAACGGAGAGGTAATAACAATCATTTGGACTACCATAATAAATAATCAAATAATTAACATCGTTATTCTCTTTCTCATCATTAAAAGAATATATTCTCTAAAATAAAAAATAAAAAATCAAGATTTTCCAAAGAAAAATAACTTTCATCTCTAACAACTTATCTATTTTGAAGATTACAATACTGATAATATTATTAAAATGTTCAGTATAATAAATAAATTATTATTTCTATTTCTTAAGCATTCAACTTTTTAAAATTTCTTGGTGATAAAAAAATATTTTTTTTATTAATTTAAAAGTTATTATTAAAAATTTATCTAAATTTAAAGATTGTGTAAAAATCCTTAAAATTTCATTTTGGAGAATGTGCTCTACCAATTTGATGGTTTCTGTAATTTTCTCGTTGCTTTTTTTATCTCCAAAACCCTAATTTTAACAGTTTTGGAGAATTTGAAAAAAATTAGTTCGTTACTCCCTCCCGCTCCCGGGTCCCTCTCCCTGAAATTGACGTCGCGCGTGCAGCCGACCGGCGACGGCTATGCTGCTGCTGAGTTCTGACCACTCTTGTTGGCTGCTGCTGCTGCTGCCAACCTGCCGTCAGCCGTCCCTGAAATCGAACACCACATACTTTTCCTTTTCCAATACGAATTGATGTGTAAACAAATATCTCCGATACTTATTTTACGTTAACAAATAGCAGCGGTTAATAGATATTTTTCAAGTGTTTATGATGAATTTTAGGGGTTTTCAGTAAATATGGATCAATCATATATATGCACATATCTCTGCTATGTTTTAGCCACAAATTTAGCTGGAAGAACGAGGGACCGAAATAATAAGAAAACAACAGCGAACAATAAGAAGACAACATGAAACAATAAGAAAACAACAGCAAACAAAGTGCAATATAGCATGTGATAATGTGATTAGCAATATTACGTAAGGGACCATAAGGTGAGATTGGGAGTAGTTATAGGCTTGTAGCCTTGGTGAGCTTGGCAGGCAGAGTAAGTGGACAGCAGTACTAGACTCCCAACCTCACATCTTCATCTCATTGTCCCTTGTAAATCAAGCAGCAAGTGAACTTTTGATCTTTCAGGTTGCTGTAGTAGATATTGGAGTCTGTCTTGACTCTTGAGGTATGCCTTAGGTTGTTCGGAAATTTTGAGCAGTCTCAGCTTTTTGTTGCGTGCATTCTCCCGTGTTAGTCAGTTATTAGGGTTCTACCATTTTCATGTTGGTTCGTAGGTTTTCACCTTACAATTCTCCCCCCTCTTCAGCCGCTCTTTGATTTCATGTTGAAATTTCTGGTTCTTTTGTTTAACACAGTGGGTGCTTAGATTTCACCATAACTTGATTAGCCATTCTGGGTGCTCTCATGTCAGTAGATTCTACTTTCACTTTAATGTCCATTCGGTTTGTTTGTATAATTTGAAGAAAGTTATGGTTCAGATTCTATAGTCAGTTTGGAGTTCCAACCAACAGTTTAATACACGTTTGATAGGTTTCTGCCTTTCTGCTCCAAGTTCCATGATAAACGGGGTTCAACTTTTTAATGTCGATCAAATGTTGGAATCATATGATATGCTAGAAATTGGGTAAAAGCCTTAAAATGGTTTCATAAGTTTGAAATGAAGTTTTCCATTTTGTTAGTGATCTGTTCCCTTGTTTTATCAAATGAATGACCCCATTAACAAATATTCAATGACCCCGAGTCTTCAATTATTTGATTGAAATATCTGATGTTTTCAAACCATTTATATTACAGTTCTTAACATGAATGAGAAAAGATGGCTCTTTGCTCAGACTAAACCTTCTTGTTTTCACCAGCTTAATCCATTCAAATCAAATTGCTTTCGACTTGAAGCAGCATCATTCTCATCATGAGCATTTAGGTCCAGTTTCTTTTCGAAATATGGCAATTGAAACTTTTGTGTTATATCCATATTTTCTGGCTTGATTGGTTCTGTTTTGTTTCGGGTAACTTGATCCATGAAAATGGCATCCTCATCCCTACACGTAAACCTTTGCTCAGAGTAACTTCTATCAGTGTTCCATTCGCTACTCTCGAGTCCGACACTCATGGACAAATCACTTGAGGAAAGAAACTTCTTGTTTCTTTTCATTTCTTCACACCATATGTTTTCTGGTTCATCTTCGACCTTCTTTGACTTCAAAGGTGCATTACTACTACCATTTAAAAAGTTCAAACCCATCATCTCCTGATCCATTTGTTGACCTTCACCGTAGGTCAAGCAACTATCTATTGAACAGTCTGTTGGCTGGTTACTTCTGTTCGACACATCCTTCATTCCCGAAAATGCAGAATTTAGGCGGTGTGTGGATACTTTGGAGACCAATTCGGATAGTTGAACCTTGGCGGTTTCTAGTCCCACTGCACCCAAGTTTTGCCTTCCAACTGTCTCCTGTGCCTTTTCTAGCACTGCTTGTAAATACTTCCCTTGTGCTTCTATTCGGAGCTGTAAGTGTCTCTGTACCTATTCCAATCCATTAAAAAGAAGTTAAACTTTGGAACTCTTGAGAATTTTCTTCTTCTCTTTAGTTGTTGCTCAAATATGCTGTATATCTATTTGAAAGCAGACAAGACAATACATAAACTTCTTGTTACATGCTTGGCGCAACATTAGACTAGGACAAGATAGGACTTGAGTGGGACAAAAGTGCATTTTTACTGTCCACCAAAATAGGTGGAACAAAAATAACAAAGGATATGAGGACAAAATTGGTAAATTACTAAACTAGGAATGTCAATTTAAAACCCTAAAACTTTTCAGAATTCTTTCACCCGCCTACCTCACTCTCGCGCCCGTCTAGTCCTGGCCGTCTACCAAACACGCCTGATGGTGATAATGTAAGTATAAAATGTTGCAAATGATCATACCTCAAGTTGCTCATGTAGCCTTCTCTGAACTTCAATTTGCATCTGTAGTGCTTCGTTTATTTGTAAGTTTCTGGATGGATAATTTTCCATTAGATTGAGTATTGGAGGAGAATACTAATCACTAAACTCTTATGTAAAGCCGAACACAAAATCACATGGATAGTAAACACCTCATACTTGTTTGTTTGAGGCCCAACACTTGAATTGCTCATATGGATATCATCTGTTCCAACCATCCTGTCTCGTGCTTGTGGAACCATACCTAAAACACAAGTATTTATTATCATAAATATTCTTTTCTAATTAACGTTGTATGACATCAGAAATTAGAGGCTCAAGTGTCTTACTGATTTTATTAGCCCCGCCACCATTAGGTTGCCCACATAGATTTTTACCTAGCCTGTACTTCTGTCAAGCAAAAATGCAAAAAGTTTAGTTTGACTGCTTTCATTTGATAACAATTCTTTCCTAGAATATCCTTCCCTTTTGAAGAATGAACAGTAATTTTGTTCATCTAGATTTAACAAAGGGTAAATTAGTTCTAAAAAAGTTTGTGTTTGGATTCCCTCTAATTTGCAAAGCAAATTTTGTTTAGCGGAGAAGGGTGTATTAAAAACACCTCAAAGTTGTTATAAGCAATTTCATGAAGACAAGTTTAGTTAGCATGTTTTGTACCTGGAGATGAGACTTTAAGTGGTACAAAGTAAGTCCTTGAATTCCCATTAGTTTCAAGACTGATTTTGGAGTAGCCTCTGTGAAAAACAAGGAAACAAGTAAACGAATTGCAGAATACCACAAATACTAAACTGGTACTCCCTCCGTCCCAAAATAAGAGTCCACTTTTGAAAGTAAGTGCCTACTTTTCAATTCTACCCTTAATTATGAGATGGAGAAATTCATTACTCCCTCTATTATCAAGGGTAAAATCGTCATCTAGTTAATTAGAAAGTGTAATAATTAAACATTCCTAAAACTTTGTGCCTTTTTCATTGTGGACATTTATTTTGGGATGGAGAGAGTAGTAACAAAAAGAAAAAGAAACCACTTACTGTCTGCTCCTCCAAGCTGGTTGACTGCTTCTATGAACCGCTCATGGAGGTCTGGTGTCCACTTGAGTCTAGGCTTAGCATCGGTAGAAAGAACAAGTCCTGAATTGCCTCTACCACTCCCACCTTGCAGAAACATATGTCTTTCTGGTGTAATGGACATCTTCGATGAAAACTGGACGTTCTTTCCTTGTTGACAATCTTACATCTTCAAGAAATACCCAAAAAAGAAGACGATAGATTTTTTGCAATAAGTTTCATATCAGTTACGTATAATAATACCAATACCATATAACCTATATGCATGATTTTCTACCTGCATGCTTTGATGTCTCTTGAATCTTGATCTTCTCACCCTTCTAATTGTAAAACCTGATTATTTTCTTCTCAATTTTGGATCTTGATATTTTAGTAGCTCTTATCTCTATATCTTATGTCCTATTTGACCAACTCTTACATATTAATGGCCTGCTTCACCTCCCCTTATATAGCATATGAAGCATAGAATCTTTGACAGAGCCTCTGAAGGAACAATACTAGACCCTAATAATCTCCACAGAAAGATATATCACATTCTTTCCGTTTTTCCTGAGCATCAGTGACTTTCTATTCTCGGAACAAAGTTTTAATTCCTTTGCACTATAAAACACTTAACATCTTACAATATGTATCAGAATAGATCCACAAGTGTGGTAAAGTAAACGAACCTTATTCGCGAATTTCTGACCTGGATTGCAGGGAATCCACTATTGTAGAACCTTGAAAGACACCTTAATTCTTTCCTCCATTCAAGTTTCTTTGAACTATATTATTCATTTTTCGCTTTCATTTCACAAGTTTTTTCTGAAAACATCCCTTTATTCTTTTTCATTAGTTGGTTCCTCCTTGGTACTTAGCTTTCATTTTTCTCTATTTAGGTTATTGATAAAGAGACAAAAGGAAATCTGAAGTAGTTAAATATGGAGAAAGTGGAAGAAGATTATGGTGAGTCAAGCATCAGAAACCTGGAATTAGATACATAGAGGAAAAATTAAAGATGCTTCTGGTTGGAATTGTTTGAAAGGCAGGCATGGAATAAGGTACACATTCCTTCTTGTCCCCTTCAATAAGTTTGGTACTTATTCAGCCTACTCAATTTTAAAATGGATGGAAGAGGACCCTTTCCATTCTTCTTCTGTTGGTATAAGACAGCCGGCCACGAAGAATCTGAATTATGGGACCCTTTGAAAAGGAATAAAAGAAAAGAAAAAGAAGAAGACGGGTTGTACTTGCTCCTATACTTGCACTTGATGAAAACCACATCAATTGGCTTATGCTGATTCTCTGGTATGAATCTTCACACATCCTTGTTGATTAATGCGATCACCTTTTCTTTTCTTTCAAATCTTAATTTCTTTTGTTTCGTTGGGTTTTTGCTCTTGTCGACCTTTGCTTGTTGTGAACCAATGCTTACCTTGCATGTATGTCACTTTGACGCTGCAACCTGTCAACATAAAGAAATGAATTTATACCACTAAGTAGCTGTTTACCAACGGTAAATAGATAAGTGCTTACCAGGTAAGAGTCACCACCCTCACTTAGCGAGTAAGCATGGCCGAGAATCTTACCCGGTTAGCCTTACCGGGTAAGAGACGCTTACCAACAATCTTACTATGGATTTTGATGACTGAGAATATTACCCGGCAAGATAAGTGAGAGTGGTGAGTCTTATCCGGTAAGCACTTACCCAATTAGCATTAGTAAATGGCCTCTAAGGCCATGTTTGGAAACCATAAGCTAGCTTATTTTTTGAGCTTATTGAAAAAGCCCGGTTTGGTGGGCCATAAACTAGCTTTTTGAAAAGCTACTTTAGATAGCTTATTGGGGATCTTTGAATTTTTCATTTTCAATTATGCTCTTTATATTTTTCTTTTTCACTTATGCCCTTTATATTTTTCTTATTTTACATTGTCATTTAGCTTATTCGCTATTTCTATTACCAAACTTGACTAGTTTATTAGCTAGCCTATTAGCCAACAACTAGCTTATCAACTATGAATTGAATTCAATTCTTTATATATACCGATGGATATATTCTATGATGTTAAAACCATGTGAATAATATGTATTAAATCTTCCATTTCTTGCAATTACCATCGTGTCTCTGAGCAATTATTGAGCATACCAGATTCTGAGGATATTTTTATGCAGTTTGCAAGGAATCTTTGTGGAGCTGTTAGGTAAAGTTCAGGTGAAAAGAGATTCCTTAGCTAGTTTTCTGGCATATGGATAGGAATAAAAATGCCCATTTCTTGTGCTTAATTAGCTCGTTTTAACTTTGTCAGTTCCTCAAAAAATTTCTCTGCATTTTGGTTCATATATTCGTATTACGCCATCTAGGATAAGGTCGGCATCTGATCTTTAAAGATTGATACATGTTTATGGTAGCTTAGATTAGCAATTAAGTCGAATCATTATAGTACTTTCTAGAATTTAACTACTGTTGGCCCCATTAGCAAGCATATTAGAAGCTATAAACTCCGAAAATTTGTGTGTGCAACTCCATATCATTGATTGTTCAAACGATAAACTCCGAAAATTTGTGTGTGCAACTCCATATCATTGATTGTTCAAACGACAATCTTGTTTTCGTTACTTCTGCCATTTTTGCTTCGGGAAACTTAGTTTTTTTCATGAAAATACTAATGCTTTTGTGTTTTTACATGAAAATACTGTTGGCCCCGTTAAGTGAATGATAGTGTTGAATTTTACCTATAAGTACTTACCGGATAAGTGTTTGGTAAACGGCCCCTAAAATGGATCTATCAACGGTATCATGATGTTAAAAATATATAGTAACAAAATTAGGGTGCTTCCCCTCATTGCATAAGAGATCTTGCTGATAAAATGTGACATTTCACCTCATTGTGTTATTTATGATGAATATTCATTCTCAAGAGGGATACGTAGAGTGCGGAAGACGGTACTCGGGCTCCTAATCAATTATGGGTTCCTAAAGAACGTCTCTCTACTCTCTCTCTCTCTCTCTCTCTCTCTCTCTCTCTATATATATATATATATATATAATATCTGTAGGGACGGACGTCCATCCAAGCATACCTTGGAGAATCTTTAAAGTCAAGGTTTAAAGGATGAATCATGTTCCTCAAGGACTTACATCGATTACGAACGAGACTTCACCACATGTGACTGGCACGTGATCGAAAAAAGAAAAAAACCAAGAAAACGACCACATAACTTTCAATAAATGGAGTTAGCATACAAAACTTTTGTTGAGGCATCACATACGAATCAATTATGAACGTATCGAAATCCTGATTGTTATTGGACGCATGTGTGATTCGAACTTTTAAATTATCTTAAAACAAGTCTCGAATACCGAAAAAAATTTGTTAAAAAAAAAGGGAATGGAAGATTGGAATCGTATTTCACGACTTTGAAGGAAAGCCAATGGATGAAGAAGGATGCTAATTGGTTTATTCTTTTCGTCCCAATGCCACAAAAAATGGGTTCCCACCCACATACTTTATCTAATTTTGGTCGCATCATTCTACTTGAAGACTTGCTCCATTTTTCACCAATCAATGATTTCATCGTGATCGTTATCGTTATCGATCGGATATTTTTTTATATTTGATACGTTAATACTTTTATAAAACGCTCGTTTGTAAACTTGTGTTATGTATGTTTTTACGATTACTTATCTGAATATGAGATGTTTAGATTCAGTTTTTTAGTTTGAAAGTTTGAACAATTCAAAGTTCTTTTACGTACGTGTATGTGATGGGTAGTTATCATATGATAATACTGATTTGAATCTGGTATGAATTAGCTATATAAAGTTAAAAATATATTTTATATAGGATCAGTGATATTATCAGAAAGAAAGATTGTTTATTGTATTTAGAACACTGTAATAGATCTATTTTTGGTTTTAAAAATTTTGTGATTATTATGTGTTATGTTTATTTTTGGGTCTCATGCAATATTCTTAAGGATGCAATGTCAAAAAAAGCATTTTTTAAATATAATGGAATTTTAACAACATTTAGATATGTAACAAATTTATCTATTTAATAATAATTTATATACAAATAAGATATGATGACCAAAATAAATACAAATACTTTTATAGCAGTTATAGAATAACTAAAAAGAAACAACAATATATACGATGACCAAAATAAATACAAATATTTTCATTATCATAAATCTTTTTTATAGGGATGCGTTATAAGTAGATAACTACAAGATATTTCATTTCTAATTTAACTATGATATATATATATATATATATATATATATATATATATATATATATCGTCATATCCTTAGATGATGACATAGTTATTCTACAACACTCCCCCTTGTGTTGAGTCAAAGGAGTGATAATGCACAACTGTTGTTTCAAGAGTACAAGTTTGAAGTAAAATCGTACTTTCGATGATCATTCATATCTGTAAGATAAGTTCCTGACATGATTTAATTTTTTCAAATTATCTCGTGTAATACACGGGATCGAACCTAGTATATATATATATATATATATATCGTAATATCCTTAGATGATGATATAGTTATCCTACAACACTCCCCCTTGTGTTGAGTCAAATGAGTGATGATGCACAACTGTTGTCTCATTAAAACCTTACACCAAAATAAAAACCCAGTGGGAATTAGGACGAAGGAAAGAGTACAATGCATCAGTTTCTTTGCAATACATAGACCTTTTCTTTTAGTCTAACATTCTTTCAGATTCGTACATTAATCATGAGCGTTAGGAAAACAATATGGTATATAAATTGTTGTTTCACTAAAATCTTACACCAAGGAACAAAACTCAATGGGAAAAATAAAACATTGGGTGAAAGAAAGAGCACAACATACAAATATTACATGTATAGTAGACTCCCCTTTTTGTCTACTACTCCCCTTGATACGTACATTAATCAAGGGAGTTTGGAAAGTCTCCGCATTCCAATGTTTTCCACATGTTTCTCAAATGTGGCCTTAGACAGTGATTTGATAAACAAATAAGCCATATTTCTCTCAGACCTTACTTGATTCACTTGAATTTTAGGGAGAGTCTGTTGTTGTTGATTATAGAATAAACTTTGGCGAAATATGTTTTGTATTATCACCCTTGATATATCCTACTTTCATTTGTTCGATACAAGCTGCATTATCTTCATATATGCATGTAAGATTTTGAGTGATTGAACTTAAACCATTATCCCCTCTTATATGTGTAATGACAGACCTTAGTCATATACACTCTCGAACCGCCTCATGTAGAACAATAATCTCTGAATGGTTCGAGGAGGTAGCTACAAGAGTTTGCTTGGTAAATTTTCAAGAAATCACCATGTTCCTAATTGTAAAAATATATCCTGTTTGGGAACGACTTTTGTGTGGTTTAGAAAGATACCCAACATCAGCAAAGTCTACTAATATATCATTTGGGGTTTCGCTATATGGATAACGC